CATCTCCAATCATTGGTTGTCGCGTCAGAAGCAACACATGGAATAAGTTATGTGGGAGCGTTCGTAACTTGACACGTGAAAAATGCTGACAAAACTACATCTTTGAGTGGCTTTAACGAAAGACAACACTTTTTCACGTTTTCAAATGACAGCTTCAATTTATAAAATAATACGAACATGTAATATTGTTTAGCCTACTGCTACAAAGTTAATGCATGATCTACCTTTCGTTATTGATGAACGATTTATGAATGTCGTATGTTTGTATTGTATCAATGAGATAATAATCTACAAATAAATAATTCCACATCACTGCATTTATCATCCTTAGGTCAAGATTTTTATCATTGACTAGGTTAAGAAGAAAAAGACGGATTCGATTTGTCTTAACAAAAAATAAAATTGCCGTTTTGATCTTCTAAAATTATTCAGTTTCTACACATTTAATTACTAAAAATTTCGTACATAGCTGGAAGACATGTCATCATCAAAGCACTCGGCAGTAGATTTTTCATTGGAAGAATCTTTGTCACTAGTCATAATCAAACAGTATTTGCCTTGTCGTTACGAGAAATTCCGATACCATGGTACTTTGCCCAAACAACCGAAGGTCCCAAACTTTGTACCGACACTTTTTATTTTATTTTGTTTTATTTATTTGTACAGACGTGCAACGGATCTATTCCTCTCCGAGATAGAAAAACTCTATTTCTTGCCGCTGTTATGTTCATCATTGGAAATAGCAGAACTTAGTTTTTCTATGAGCAGCTTGCAATCCTGCGAGACAATCCCGTGTCTGCGGAAACTCTGTACAAACCCTGTACAAACCCTGTCTACTTTGTATACTACGTATGTATGGTTTTCCCATAGTTTCCTCTATCTCGTATAGATAATATACACTTTAGAAAACATATCTCGTGTGGCGCTACTGCAGCTTTTCACGATATTTATGTGTCGAAATAATATGAATTGAATATAGCAAAACTGCACGCTCGTATCCGCCAAATCTCTGAAGCAGAAAAACACTTGTTACCTGTAAATAAAACAATTTCCAAATAAAGTTTCGCGAAAATGGCATTACTACGAGCTCAAGTCTCGCCTCAACTGGTGTTCGTGCGCTACGCCGATAGGCAGTGAACCCAGTCGGCTTTCGATCTCTGCATTACGCCTTCCAATGGAAAAGTAAAAGGGCAAGATGAGATGTTCTCTCCGTTGCACATAATAGGTAATAGGCGTATAGAAGCGAGCAGACAAGAACGCGCAGTCGGATGCTCCCCGCAATCGCGAGGCGCGCACAGTGGAAAAACTCAGGCGGGTATAGACGACATCGAAAGCTCGTACCGGCGTGTAGCTACCGCGCGGCTACTTTCTCGCGAGCGAGCGCAAAAATGATTCCGCCAGGGGCGGCGCGATCTCCATTTTCCCATCGCGAGTCGCGGCGCGCTTAAATTACACAGCTCGCGGGCGTCTCGACGGATACGCGGTTTATTGTCTTTCGGGCTCGATGCGAAACTCGCGCCCCGCGTCGTCGCGCGCTCGAAAACTCGCCGCGGGAAATACGTTTCGACGGGTCGATTCCGCTCCTTCGAGAGAGCAACAGAAGTGTATCATAGCTGCCGGGCGCGCGATCGCACTGCGCCGATAAATAACGCAAGCACCGTTAAAACGCCCCGTGACGCGCGAAAGTAGCTCGATGCGCGCGGTGCCTTCGCGGACGGTGGAGCGCTCCTATTGTACGCCATTGTCTCGTGCACTATTGGCTCTGCGCCTCCATTTGGTGATTTTGCGCGAGATACTTTTATACGGCTCTCTGTACGTTTTCACCATTTTCCTGATGCTTAACAATTATATTATAGTGAGCATAATTGCAATGTCATTACCATGCCACTCATTCGTAAGATTGATTGTGATTTGTAAGTTTCAGTCTGACGCCAATAGATGGTTATCCTTGCGACCATAAACGTAGATAGGATTGGTTATTGAAACACTTATTTATTGCATACTTCAATGTTCATTTTAGTTTTTTACTGTTTTCATTATTCATCGCGAATACACGCGTATGGCGTAACCTACGCGAACGTACGGAAGTGTACCTACGGAACGTACTCACCTGTACGCGGGATTAATACCATAATAATTCAATAACGAAGGCTTAGCAATTGAAAACTGAAAATTAGTTAATATAAATATCACAGACATATTTTAATTTTTCAATTTTCTTTTTATTTTAAATCTATCATTTTCTAGTAGCTTCAATTCATGAGGTGATAAATTAGATAGCTTGATTCCAACGTTGAGTCTTTTAAAATCTTATCAATTGAATGCTTCTTACTCTTGTTTCATTATTTGAGTTAACATATTCACGGCAAAACCTCAAAATCCTATGTGTTTAAATTTAAACGTTTTAAGTGTGCAAATGTGACCTCACCCATAAGAAATACATTGTCCCTGAATTAAAAATTTAAAAGTATTTAAAATTGGCGACGATGTATTTCTTATGGATGAGGTTACGTCAAGCGCTTAAATTTAAACACATGGATTTACCGTGATTTATTTTGTAAATCACTATAATGATTTCATCGTGATTTCAGTGTGAATAAATGATGAAATTCTAATAATTTTTTCTGAACACGCATTATCCCAAGCTATCAAGTCATAATTGAACAAGACTTGAAAATAACTGTAGTGCATAGAAGATTTGAATCGAAGAACATAGTTTAGCAAAGTTTTTCTGCGAGCGAAAGTTCTTTTTTCAATTAGTATTTCATTAGACGTCGACATACCGACGGAACAGGAAAGCCTTTATGGAATAATTTAATTATCGAAAGAAGCAATAATTTTCTATTACATCCAGCATTCGAGAAAATCTCTTTACATCTCGCCTTTCTATACAAGCACGGTTAAGCGCGCGACTTTCATAAAAGTGCGCAAACGCGTCTACTCTTCAATGTCGATCGCGCGCAGAGATGAAACGCGCTTAGCGCGCACAAACGTCATTCAATGCATTATCCGTTGGCAACAAGCAATTGCACTTGAAATAAAATTATCCTCGCGGCTTGCAGCACGGACAAATTTATTCCGCGTCGCCGGATACCACATACGTCTATGCCAAACTTTCTCTCCCCCTCTCCGACGGCCAATTAAATTTGTCGATGCGTCGCTGCACTCAACTTTTACCGTTCGCCAAAAATTCATTATTCCATTCGAGTGTTGCGCAACGCACAGTTCTATGTGCATGCGCGTCCTTCATTTTTCGCTCCGCGAGCCACACACAAAGACTTAGTCGCCGTAGTTTAATACAGCGCGTCTGATCGATGTTTCAGTTCGAATATTTTTTTCTACGCTTCGTAATTTCAGAAAATCGCTTGGAATCCGCTTGAATCCTCCGTATACTCGCGGCAAAAAAAAAGTAAAAACAAACGATTTTCGTCCGTTGATCGCGCGAGGGAAAATCTCGCCTCCGTGGTAAAATAAAAAAATCGCAGGCATTTTGCTCGCCTCTGCTCGGCGAGGTCAACATCCCAATTGGCCGCTCGCGTCGCTTTTATCCGTAGCGGTACACACGAGTCGACGAGCGCTTGCCTAATTGGCGCGTCTAATTGCGCAATGAGCCGCGTCCGCGCGAGGAATTTCGCCCGAGTCAGCTGCTGTTGTGCTCCGGCGTGTTGGCAGCGCGTCTTCGTAATGTTTCGCAAAGCATTACCGTGTTGTTAAATAAAGACCGAGCCGCGAACAATGGTGCCGGTGGCCAGCGCGCACGCCGGAGCGTGATGCAACGCTGCGTGCACGCACCGAGACAATTGTTGTTAAACCCGATGCATTATACTCCGCCGCCGCACGCCCTCGAGATCCGATTGCACTCGTTTATATAGCTGCGACGAAAAATTCTCATCCGAGATTTTTTCGTGGCTGGCTAATCTTGATAAATCATACCTTGGCTATAACGTAGCATCAGCGAGGGAGGAAAGTGATAGAAAGACGTTATCTGTGATTGCAAGAGTTATTGTTCGAATATACCTCCACGAGCGGAACCTGTCTTTCACTTTTGAACTCGAAGGGAAAAATCTGGCCGAGAAATCTGTCGGATCGACTTGATGAATTATTTCCGTGATGAATGTTTGTTTTTTCTTTATCAATGAGAGTGTAAAAATAAAGTCTCGGCCGCCAGGCGCCGGCCAGCGAAGTGAAAACTGCGCACGAGCATCGGATCTGATACGGCGAGAACTACTCGGAAGAAAACTACTCCGGCGGGGTGAAACGCGCGAAACGGAGCGACGATTGATCGAGCTTTGAAGCCCGCGGCGGCATGTCTAATGAAATTGCAGCGTGGGGCGATCTGCGCTTCCGCCGCTCTTTCTGCTCGGCTTATCTGTCTGTCTGCCTGGAGCGCGCGCGCGCTGTCAAGACGAGGAGAACGCGATGCACCTGTCGTGACTTCTGCTCGAAGCTATTCTTCGCTGGCTGCGCTTCAAGCATCTAATGACGCTCGTGCTCCGGACAGCTGGAAAGTTCGCGTAAACGTATCCGCTGGTGTGCGTTGCATTTCTTGGGGGAGGACGAGACTTGTCGAGTATGCGATCACCTGATGAATACATCGCGATCGCGCTCACCATTTCAAATTGGAAAACGTTCGACGCGTTTTTTTTTTCCCTTTCAAAATTCTACTTGACTGCGTGCAAATGAGATAACGCACTCTAAACGATCAGCGATCACCTCTTCCCAAGACTCCGCGAAGATGTTCTCGGCAAGAGTAGAGCCGAAGGCAGCGCAAGAAAAGCTTCCGTAGACGTCGGCCGTCCCGAGGTGGAGCGCGAAACGAGGCGTCGTTTCGAAAAATCGCGCGCGGCGACGGCGCAGTGGAGGCCGCGCGGCAGTGGCAGCAGCGACAGCGGCCGCGCGCATATTGATCGCCGCCGCGCGGCTGCGTGCCCGCTGGAGTCGCGCGCCGGGAGGGGGGGGGGGGGGCGGGGGGAGGGAGTCGTCGCGGGGCGCACGCACGCTCAGTCAGCGCGAACCAGCTCGAGTCAACAACGATGACACGAGGCTGCTGCCGTTGAACAACCATACGACCAGGATTGGGCCTCGAGCCACGACGATGTGACCGCCCAGCGCCGGAGCGAGGACGTAGTCGTCCAGGATTCAGCGAGCAAGGGGGGGAGGGCACCATCCGCGGTAACGGCCATGCGGACGACAAGAGCCGAGAGGATGCGATGAAGGCTTCGCCGAAGTGAAAGTGATTTTTCGGTGTGCGCGAAGCGACTGCTGGCGTTCGTGCGTGACAGGTGCGTATCGCGAGTATGCGCCTGCCGCCAGCCTCTCCTTCTCGTCTCTGAGTACCGACGCTCCTACGCTCGCATAGTACATACCTAGCGTATAGAAGAAAACTAGCCCAAGCGAGACACACTACTGCTAACTACTACTTCAAGGCTGTGCGTATCAGATACATAAGGCAACCTCAACGCTACTTCGGATAATATAACAGGAAACAAGTCTTTCTCGACGCCGGCACGTCCTCGCTCCTCGTCGCCGCCAGCCTCGCTGGATGGGCTCAACATGAGCAGCCTCCTGCAATCGCCGTCGTCGTCGTCGTCGTTATCCAGGGTCCGTTGCCTCGCCGACGAAGAAGCCGACCACAACATGCTTCAAGGTAAATTTCGCTTCGCCAGATGCACCATTGCGGCAAGGAGAGAGAGAATTATTAGACTCTCTCGCACAGGATGACGGCGTTTTAGCCTCGAAAACTGGTTTCCCTCTCTCTCTCTCTCTCTCTCTCTCTCTCTCTCTCTCTCTCTCTCTTTCTCTCTCGCGCGCGCGCGCGCCTGCAAAAAGTCTGCTGCCGCTGCACCTGATCGACCAGGAATTTCGCGACCGTCTGCCTTTCTCGGCCGATAGCTCGGCGCCGCGAGAATGGACTTGCCGCGCGTTTCCATTGCGAAACCCCAGGCAATCGGCGCAATGTGGCTCGTTGCTCGCTCGCTCATTCCCATTTTCCTCTTAATTGACGCCTGCGCGACCGTTAATCATTTGACATTGCAGCTGCGCCATGCACGTTTGCCGCGGCGATCGTCTCGACGCTAATCGGCCGATTCGCATAGGACGCATCGCTTTCTCGAAGCTGCCAAGGACGCGAACTTTATATCTCTGACCGCAAGCCCCGGACGACTCGTTGTTTTCGCCAGATAAAAGGCCAGTTTTAATATTAGACGTGACGGAAGTGCGCGCGCGCGAGGCTCCACTTGGAATGAATAATATTAAATTTTAGTCACGCGCGAACTGACGTCGAGGATACCTTCGCGCTGAATAGGCTCCTTTGCGTTCGAGAGCTCGCGACGACATTGTAATGTAAAAAATGATTATTTAATGACACAGCCTTCGCGTAGATCCTTCTCTCGATCTTTTATTTTCGCTCGATGGACTCGTCGTTGTTTTTCGTTTTTTTTTTCTTCTCCGCGGTACTTCGAAATCTTGACGCAAAGCGGCCAAGTTTTAAATGCCGGCGACATTTTATTTTATCCGATGATCGATAAAGAGATAAGGCATCGGATGGCGTAAAAACGTATTAAAGCGAAAAGAAGACAGAGCAAAGGAAAAAAAAAAAAATCAGCAGCGGCAGACGATAACGCGCGCGCGAGCGAGAAAAGTTCGATACGATCGCGGCTCGGATTGTCTCGCGCGCTCTCGTAATAGGAGTCTGTTCACACCGACGCGGTGATAGGCTCGCGTTTGACTTTGACCTCGTCATGCTAATGATCGGAAAGTTTTTTCTATCGCTTGCCTATTATTGGCCATACATGTGAAAGCACTTGCGCGTATACTTTCAGACGGACTTTATTTTCGCTGATTACTTCGATTGGCACGATGACTCTGTTAATGTTATCATTGACCTAATTATAATATATTCTATTATCAATGTACACTTTGAAACACACAGATAGAGGATTTATCTAATCGTGTCGGTTCCGCTGAATGAGTCGCGTGATAAGAAATTTCTGGCTCAGACACCCGTAGACGCGCATGAAATCGAAATAATAAAGACTGAGTGCATTAGCTCGACTTTATTACAGTGCATTAGCTAACTAGTACGGGAAAGCAGATTGTTGTCTCATGCGAGGTTTACGCCCGAACGAAAAGAAGCTGGAAAGGCACACGAGACTCTCTCTCTCTCTCTGCCGAACACGCTAAGCTACGTAATTTTTCAAAGCGATCCGTGGAAAGCGCCCACAACTCGGCCGCGCGACCCGTCGGCAATATTAAGCCAAGCCACAATCGCTACGTTTAGCCGGTCACTAATTCATTGGACTTTCTCGGGGAAGCATCCCCGACAATCGATGCCAACTGAAAAATATAAATGACGCCCCGGGCGTCCGACAAAGACAGCCGCGAGCTTGGACCGCCATCGCGGATTCGTTCGATAACAGTAGCTCGCGCGAACGAGGATCGCTTCTGTTCCCGCGCGAAACCGGAGATAAACTGCTCGCGCAGCAGATTTATCGCTGGCTACGCTCGCCGAAGTTGCGCCTCGTTAAGCGGTCGAAGTGCGCGCACCGCGGCCCTCGAGGAAATCTTGACGACGATTAGCGTCAGCCGCGGCGCCGTCGAGGGGATTCGATCGACGTCCGAGCGAAATTCATCGAACGGACAGGTCAAACGATACAACGAAGCGACGCGTTCGCTCGAGGAAAGAAAAGGAAAGAAAGAAATCAGCGAGCCAAAGTTTCGTCGTCCTCGATGACGAGGCGCAAGCGCGCGCGCATCCTGCTCCGCGAGCAAGCGACCAGCGGGTACATATGCAGTCTCGGGGTAGGCTCTTGGCGTGCTATGCTCGTCGATTCGTCGTCTTGTTTCGCTCCTCGGCGAGCGACTGTCCTCCCGGAAACGTTGGCACCGGCCGATATCGCTTCCGCGAGCACGTCGAGATCAGCAGCGGACTCGCGGGTGCATTCGACAGCGAGGGTTCTCGCGCGCGCACGCGAGACATTTGATTTCCATGAGTCACGTGTGCGCGACGAGGAGCGGATCGATGATGCGCGCGCAGCCCGTGCACGCAGGCAGACGGCATGCGCACTTTGTAAGGGCTCCCGTGCACAAGGAGAGAAGGAAAAAGAAGGAAGCAGCCACACGCGTGAATCATAACATGTAGATCGGACCCTTGACGCTATACGGCTATCGATCTCTTGTGCCGAAACGTCCATTAATGGTCCGCAAGAAACAATGCGCTGGTAGGATTTCACGACCGACAATTTTACGCTGCTCCATATGGTTACATTTTTTACTGGTTTCTGACATTTTCTTTAAGCAGGTATCCTGATTAATTGTGAAAGTCATTCACGTGTGTAGGATCGAGGACTAAAAGTAAGTCATAGTCGTGAACATGTAGGACAATAATTAAATGATCTTGAAACGTTTTCAAACTGACTACTCTCAATTGGATGAAGTGCTTGTTTGGTTATAGTTGATCGTTAAAAGTACAGCACAGCTCGTATGGAACAAACCTTATTTTCATTTTACATAAAGGTACATCGTTCGTAGTATTTAAATGGATTACAGCCTTCTATCAAATCATTTGGAATTTCCATTTGTAGAGGGCTTTTTCGGTAATAATATTCAGTCAGAAAATCATTCTATCAGGAATATTATGTTTCAAAAAACTAAACTAATCGTTAATTCGTCAAGTTTTACAAAATTATCATTATTGTATAGCCACATCAACGCTTATTCATATTTTGTTCTGTAAAAATTGAAAGTCCACTTTTGATTAAAAGGTTTCATTAGAAAAAGTCAATCCAATATAACCGTCTCATTCTAAATCAAGAATCATCCAATTATACGAAACTCAAACTGCTTCGTATAATGTTTGACATAAGGAATCCTTCGTGTACTATGTTTTTATAAAGTATTCTGCCTATACCACCGTATAAAAAGACACTGCCATAAGAATCTCGAACATTTTTTTATATTCAATTCAGGAATATTTCCAGAGCATTCTAAAGCATTATGAGCCACTCTCATTTGAAATCTAGAAATCTGGTTGGGACGCTCCGCGTGAAAAGCGAAGCACGGCGATACGCAGTTTCACCAAGTGCCTCGAGTTACCTTGCACGCGGCATTGTTCCTCTTTGTCGTCGGCCATACGACGTTGCAGGATATCACAGCGCCAGGTGGCTTTGCATGCTATTGTGCGCCGTGGTCATCGCTGTCATTTTTGCGGCGTAAGCATGTAGCGCAGGAGCGCGAGCGCGTGCTTGGAAAACCTTCGTGCGCTCGCTACGCTAATACGAGGTCGTCGTACGTACCGCGTCGTGCGAGACAAGTTTCCTTCGCGCGAAATAACCGATATATCCGCGCGGCAAAGGCAGTGGCTTTTATAATCGCTCGTCGCGAAGCGTTTAAACCGCCACTTGCGAGCGAGCCGTTCATTTTAATTACGCCGACGTTGCGTTTTTATTTTTACTTCTCATACCTTGCTCGTGATTTCTCATGATATGCTTTCGGAAAATGCTTGACATACGCAGACTAGGACTGCTCATCTCTCTCTCTCTCTCTATCTTCCTCTCTCGACCAAAAATCTTATAAATTTATGAAATTATCGGAAATTATCATAAAAAATATATGTTTCTTCATGTTTGTAACTTGTATCTTAGCCTTATGACCGTGTCTATCGAAATATGTTATTTCAAAAATATGCCTTTCGTCGTAACGAGAAAGAAATTACGTAGTAGCTTGCGCTTCATAACGTTCTTTCCCGAAAAACATTGCTCGTCGATGCGCGCATACATACACTAATAAAGTAATCGTGAATACTCAGTTCGACTGTATACAATATCCTCTTTGGAATAATTGATCCATCATTAATTCCATTTTGATAAGAACGTAATGTCGTTGGAAAGTGCGGAAAACGAAAGATTTGGCTCGTTACGTGTCGAAGATATCGTCGGCTTTTCAGGCGAATATAATAATACACTGCTGTGTGCATGCACTATCTGACACGTTTGCTCTCTCGAGATGCAGAGACGTGCTTTCGAAAGGCCGCGCGGCATTATATAAAAAAAGGCAAGCCTTCGGCCTCATAAATAATACTAATGACTTGGCCGCCGCGATGTACGGCGTTTTCATGTGATCGATGGTTTATTAACCTCTGCTCCTTTGATTTATATGCCCAATTGCACTTTTCGCGCTTGACATCGGAATGATTATTTTTTTCCGATTAGAGAAACGAGAGATAGAGAGAGAGAGAGAGATAGGGATGTTACTTAATTAGGACAACAGCGAAATTAACGTTACGGAATTTTCGAGCCAAATATATCTTCGATCGAATTTCAGGTTTCTCTTTCCTCGAGATACGTAAGTTTTCACCCGATGGATTCGAGTCAAGTTTTCGATATATCGCACGAACCTTTTAGTTTAAATGCCATCGGGATGCGAATTAGCATATGCTCCGAATGAAAATTTCACTTTACCATTGGACAAAACGAACGATCATCTAGCTCTAACGCGCCATTTAATAAGGCAAGCTTTGATCGTCTTCAGCATTGCAACGTAAGGCATGTAATTGCAAGTACGTAAATGCTTGCAATTTACTCTTGATTGAAAAAGGTTGGTTAACCACCATTGCGAGTCTCATCTCCGAGCAGTCTCTCATCATCACTG